CATAATAGAAGTGGATAATGCCTAGGTATGCAAAATGCTGATAAATGAAAACTAACTTACAGCTGGTCAAAGGCAGACCGATGAGGACACCAAGAGAGCCATTGAGCTAATTTTTTTGGACATTTTCGTAACAATGGTAGCAATAATATAATAATATCATTTTTATGGAAGGAATTAATAATTGTTTTAATAATGAGGAAAATTCAAGTAGTAGTAGCTTACACACTCACAATGTGATAAATTGGATAGTGATCTAAAAGAGGTAGAAAGATCTCCACTAAAGTTGTTGAAAGAAAGATCTCTATACCCATGAACAAAATTGAATGGCAGACTTAATTATATTACCATGGAAGAATAAAACCTTAGAGGGACACAATTATACTATGAAATTGAAGCACTAATGTTGCTCGATTGTAGAACAAAATACTCTGCATTATGAGTATTGTTGAAAATTCAGGATGATGGATAACCAAGACCATCAAAACATGAATATTGAAATGAAAAGATTCTCGATAAGAACGAATCAAAATGAAATAGAGTTGTATAGAGTAAGCGCCAAGTTTTAACATAAAAAAATGTGAAGAATAGAAGGGGGAGGAATTCATTCTCTTTGATGGTTTCTTTTCTCCTCCTCTTCTGCCTTCTTCTTTCCAGAGAGGGAGAAAGAGGAAAATTAAAAGAAAAAAGAGAGTGGGGAGAGTGGAGTTTCTTTCCCTTCTCCTCCTTCTGAGTTCTAGCAAGTCAAGATTTTGAAAAAAGAAGAGATGATAGAGAAATAATAAGAGACAGAAAACCCATACTGAGGATATCCGAAGAGGAGAAATATGAACGAAAACAATCTTGTTTGGTCAACTGGATCCTCTCTTTTGCATTTCCTTCTATGATCTTTACTGCATAAAGAACAAACATTTGAGAATCCATATGAGGACATCATAGGCAGACCTATTACACAAAAAATTGAGAGATTGTGAAGCTAAAAGAGCCTGTGTAACCAACGTAACAGTAACAGGGCTGGAGCTGACATACCATACTACAAAGATAATAGATTTTGAGAGAAGCTTTCAATTTAGAAGATTTGATTTATATGATGATTTTTAGTAAATCCAAGTCAAGTCTATAATTCATGTCAACACGACAATGATTTACCATCTACGTAGCCAACACAACAACATACTTAGTGGACTCCTCCCCGTCTTTCACGTCACAATATATGGAAAATAAAGTATTATCATCTAGGTTGGCCCCGTCATCGAGACCATGACGACAGACTTCTTCTTGCTCATTGTCTTGTGAGACCAAAGACTGTTTGATTGATCAGATGAGGAGGAGGATCGTTGGGAAGTCCCGACAAAACCAGAATTGCTGCAAATGGTAGAACAAATCAAAAGAATGGCACAAAAGGTAGCAAAAAGACAACAATATCTACTTGGAATCTGTTCACTCGAAAGCATAGCGACAGCCAGTGCTGGAGGTGCATATAATAGGACACGGTGCTTATGTGGGAACTTAGGCCGGGTGGCTAGCTGACCTCTTACACGAAATTGGAATGTACCACCCTGCATACCCAACATCTATTTCATTTGAACTCCTACCACAACGATTTCGACAAAGTCTGCATTTGACAATGAACCCACAGCCAACTCCAGGGACCCAGCTCAAAACCTAACCCCAACTGGTCATGGGAGAAAATTGAATTATACACCAAAAGAAACAAACCTAGAACTCATTCGGAGAGCAGTTAAGTGAACCCAACACACCAATCTAGACCTCCCTACTGCACCCCGACACAGACCAATAACTGAAACCCCCGGATAACAAAATAAGTTAATTTTCAAATTATTATAATCGATACATGATTGAAAAGAAGAGATCGATACATGAAGGAAAGAAGAGATTGCAAGAGGAACCAACCAATATCATTACATTACCGCAACCTCCACCGAGCACTGAGAACCGATTCAGAGATGATATGTGACTTCTTTGGTCGAACGACAGTCTGACTACGCTCACTGAGAATCCATTCGGAGAGGATTTGGGAATTAGAATGTACTGATATAAAGAAGCTGCAAATGGAAACATCGGAAGCAACTCTCATGAGTAATCAGTGGCGAACTTAGGTACGATGGTGGTGATTGGGCCAAGAAAGTAGGCAGCCGGGAAAAGATGGTTGCTTTCGACCAATCTGTCTCTGCCTCTCCTAAATATGAATTGAAGGAGGGAAGGAGACAGTGGTAGCCGCAATTGTGAGCTATGGGAGTTCAGATTTTGAAGATAAACGACGACTGAAGAAGATGAGGCATACGATGGGAAGTTGGAGAAGAAAACGGTAGCTCGTCGTCGTTCGGTCTCTTCCTTTCTCGATTCTGGATTACATCATCGAGGAGTGAGTTCGTGGAGTTGGGGATTTTTAGGGTTCGCGAGATCACCTCCCGAGCCACCGATGGGAGTAAAGCTCTCCCCGACCATGACACCACGGAAAGGTTGGATGGAAAGGGTTCAACGCAGAACTACCTAATCCGATTGCGAGAAGCAGCGGAAGCAAACAAACATAAAAAATCACGGCTCCCCTTCGAATCGGCGATTGGCTGGAGAAGGGTTCACCGCATAACTATCAAATCCGATTGTTCGAAGCAGCGAGAGTAAACAAACATTAAAAATTATGACTCACCTTTGATTCGCTGATTGGCTGGAGAATGCTTCAACGTCAATTAGTCGCAGGTCTTCCTCGCCCAATCAGGTCTTCTGCTCGTTCTATGTTGCGGAATCTCGGCCCGGTGAACTCGGCAGCAGAGGGCCATCAGTGCCTTCATCCGCTGAGAAGCAAAAGTCAGTCCCTCTTCCCAAAATTGTCCTCTGAAAAATGAATCTCCTGTCGTGTTGTGGGAAGGAGAAAGGAAAACGTAGAAGTTACTGCGAAAAGAAGACATGAGGATATGTAAGGAGATTTCAGCCAAAACAAAACAAAAAAAGTAGTGGGAACGGGACGGTTTCTTATCACTCCCATCAGGCGGGGATTTCTAAATTAATACCGCCTAAACACTCTGCCACGTCAGCCTCCTAAAATCACTCTACGAACTAGAAAATTTGAATGGAAGTGCAGTTTTACTTTTCAGCTATAAATGATACTATTGATATATACGCATCATTCCTTCCCCTTCGAAAGAACCTTGTCCTCAAGGTTCAAGTTAATTAGCGAATCAACTCAACCCATACACAACCCGGATCAATGTAAAAGAAGGTTGTTGTTTGTGATGCTTGCAATTGCGCTCGACCCCATCAACACACTTACTATCACCGAGAGCTCCAGCTTCCCCGGGACATATATTACGTCTCCCATCTCAGTGCGTGTAGCTACGTCTCGAGTCTCGACCCTTCTTTCTTCTTTTCCACCAATAAAGGAAGTCACCATCAACACCCAACAGACCTGACGCCACCTTTTGTTTCTTTGTAAAACTCCAAGAGTTAATTTGGCCCAAAATAATTCTCCCTCTAATGCGAATAACACACTTGAGATGATTATGATGCCGAATAATTGTACACACCCCTGTATTTGTTGCGGATGGCCGCTAAACAACAATAATTGTGGCTTTCCTCCATGATGCTGCTTTATGGCGAGGCGTGGTGAAACAGGAGCGGCCTTGGCTGCTACTTCTAGCAGTGACTTTGGTTCCACAACGAGGGATGGCGATTCTGTTGTGCGCGTAGGTGGAGTGATTGGTGAACTCAAAGAGCTTTCAACCTGTGACGACAGTGGAGCAATGACAGCATCAACAGCAGCGCTAGTGATGCGTATATATAAATTATATTTTCTTATTTGGACTAATTATTATTAGTAGCTGGTTAGGGAGATAATTGTGGTAGTTAGTTGTTAGTAGAACGTGGGAAGTGGTTCCACAAGAATAGGGTTTAGTTGTTTTCCTTTGTCAAACGTTGATGTATTTAAGTTCAGAATGAATTCCGTAACAGGCAGCCAATTTCAGAAAAATAGAAACTCTGGCCATTCTCGCCAAAAAAGGAGAAATCTGGTCTACTCCCGCCAAGAAAAGGGAGCTATCCAAATTCAACACGTATCATTTGGTAACAGAGCCGTTGATCCGGATTCCGATCAAAATGAGCTCAAAGAAACCATCAAGGGAGGAGGAACTCATCAATTAGGCACTCAAGCAGATAGAGTGTGTCATGGCTACCTGCTGCATGATGATTACGTCGTATGATAAATCCATGTCAGCAACACGACCATCGCCGCCGGAAGTCGAGACCTTAGCCGCCATTGAAGAGGAGGAGATCTCCATTCTACCCGTAGCAACCCAAAAGGTACATGCTGCCACTGAGAGCACGCCATCGGTGATCATGGCACCTCCATTGGCTGCTCCTGTCGCCCTCATCGCAAAACCACAGCAGCCTCTTGTCGATGCCGCGAAACATTCCACGCCGCCAGAAATCCAGTTTATGGCACGCTTGCCACCTGGGAGGAGCCTGAGCACTGCCAAACCCGTTGCAGCAACTTCCGATCAGGTACAGAAGGCTGGATCCATGGTAATATTAAGAGTGTTTAATTCTCTACTATTGTTTCCACGTATCAGGAATGACGTGGGTAACTTGTGGGGAGGAATTGAGGTAACTTCCGTGATTTGTTGATTGTTGATGACCAAGTTGGGACACCTCATGGAGAGGTCAAATTAATTGCCAAGATTCACTCAACCCAATTATTTTGTATAGATCCGGGTGGAAGAGAATTTAATTCCACAACTCTTTATGAAAATCTCTTTGCTATGGATGTTGGTCAATTGTTGAAGTGCGAAGATGGAGATGAAAAAGGTGGGGAACGAGTTGTCTACAAGAGAGGCTTGTTCATAAGCCTTGCGCATAAAACCCACGTCAACTATGAAGCATTTGTGGGATTGTTTGGTGATGATTATTACTTTCTCTATTGGTGGGAGAGAAGGGAAAATGGTCAAGCCAATACAGGGAAGTTGGTTTCGCCAACAAACAAAGAGGCCATGAATTGCTCCATCAATTCCTACTATTGTGGTGGAGGCATCTACAAAAAGAGCTTCAAGTGGAAGCACATGGCTGAATCCACCACCAACACTGGGAAGGACAACAACGAATCCAGGGATTTTGACTCTTCCTTGCCCAAGCCGGCAAGGCGGTGGATGGTCTCCTCGATCGATAACCCCAATAGGTCAAAATTTGGTCTCTCAACCTACACCGAGATGATCGCAAAGAGGGTCTCGATCAGGAAATGGAAGCTGTCGAGGAAACGCCATTCGTGGATCAAAGTTGGGAGTAGGCGAGTGGCACCGTTTAAGGAGTAGATGAACGAGCTGAAAAGGGATAAACAAGGAGGTGATGGGCGGATTGGTACAACTGTCTGGGTTTATGGATCAAGCCAACTGACTGGTATGGTTCAAGGATGGAATCGCGTCTTGGACGGACGCATTTCATCAACGTTGCTATCTGCAGGTTGGCCTCCATTTTGCTATGATCGCTTCATTCAGCTCAGCCTTGAGGACAAGGCCGTTTTTCAGGGGTGGTAATGGTAAGCCCTCAATTGGGCCACGTCGTTCGGCCATAGTTCACCAGCCCATAAAGCGTTAGATCAACGAGTAGTTTGTTTAGCAGTAGCTTGGCATAGTTTAGAATTAGTCTTTCATATTGTTAGTTGGTTAGATTAGTGGAATAAATCCCTCCACCTTAAGTGGAGAAAGAGTAGCAGCAGTACGTGTGAAGTTAGTTCCACTTAGATAGGTATATTTCATTTTCTTGATGTATTTAAGTTCCAGCCACGAATGAAAGAAGGAAGCAATTTCAGAATTAAGAAACCCTTGGCCATTCTCGCCAAGAAAGAAGAAACCTGGTCTCAATCCCGTCAAAAAAGTGGATTCATCCATTCGTATAATTTCGATCCCTATCAGAAGCTTGAATTCATAGGATGTGATGGTGAAATCCGTGATTTTATGATTCCTGAACAGGGTACTATTTAGGCGTAGTCCCCTCTGTGGTGTGGTTGAGGTAAGAGAGGCTTAGTGAAGAACCATTCCCCAACCCTCTGGAGCAAAGTGAAGGAGGCAGGCATGTTGGAGTTCAAAATAGAAGACAATTGACTATTGAGGACAAGGGCCGCGACTGTGGTCACCACAGTACTCTTTTGTTTATACATCTATGATGGTAAACAAACCTCATATGGCCTCTAGTTCTTCTGATGGGAGTTCCTCTAACCCACAAATTTGACTTGTGACAATCGAGAAATCTAGGCATCTAGTTTGTTTCAACTAAGTCAAACGGGATTATTATAACTAATCACATAATGTTTTAGATGCTTGGTCGCCAAATGAGTTCTATTGTTTTGATAATGAAGTCGATGAGTCTGACCTTCACGTATTTTTCTTTTATATTTTATGGCATGCGGTACAAAATTCATGAACTGTAAAACTTATAGAACTCGCGTCTTACGTATCAACTCTGATATGAAATATATTATTCCCTGATACGATCGTATCAGGATGGTATGATCCATATCAGACGTCGTAAGATACGTAATTTTGTATATTTAGTAGTTTCGAATTTTGTACTCTTATCATTTCTCATAATATTTTATACAGTGAAGTTAAGGAGGAAAAAACAAGTCTATGTACAATGCTTAAAATTCATTTATGTTTGCAACTTGATAAGGCATTTATTATTGCAAGTAGAAGCAACCAAATCATTTGAATCTAATCTATCAATTCAATCCATTCACAAAAATAATCAATTAATTCAATCCATTTAATTCAAATTTTGTTGGAACTGTTTGATGGGTGGTTTCATAAATTGTTGAAATATATTTTTTAGAACCTTTATACTTTATGTTATACAATCTAATACCTAAGCTTCAATTTTTTTAATGGAAACAATTTTTTCAAAACTTGAGCTTTTTTTAATGACATTTTGGTTCCAAACTTTCAGAATTTTCATAAAAACAAGATCTAAAATTTAGGGCTCGTTTGGAAGTTGCGATTGTTAAATAGATGTATTGTTGAGAATGCATGTATAATATTATACATGTATTGTCGAATTTGATGTATTATAGAATACAACGTTTGGTATGTGTGATTGTGTATGTCGCATCAGCTAAAAGCTGAGACAAAACAATCTCAACTCAACTATCTCAACAATCACAACTAAAAGTTGAGATATAACAATCACTCAAAATGAGTGATATTTTCTGTCACATCATAAAAACAATCCATGTATTGTTTCTGCTAAAAAAAACAATCCCTAGCAGTGTTAATTCCACTGCTGTCTCTCTGATTCCTAAGGTAACCTCTGCCTGTAAACTCAAAGATTTCAGGCCAATTTCATGCATCAACATTCTTTATAAGGTCATTGCTAAGATTCTATCAAATAGACTAAAGAAGGTCCTCCCTAGTGTTATAAGTAATAATCAATCAGCCTTTATAGAAGGGAGAAGAATAGTGGACAACATTCTTATGGCTCAGGAGCTAGTCAGTAGTTATGGTAGAAGGAATCTCTCCTCTCGATGTGCTATTAAAATTGACTTGATGAAAGCTTTTGACTCAGTGAACTGGGATTATTTGTTTCTAATGATGGAGACTATGGGATTCCCTGTCAAGTTCTTGTACTGGATTAAACTATGTGTTAAGACTTCTAAGTTTAGTATCTGCATCAATGGGGGACTCTGTGGTTTCTTTGGGGCAAAAAGAGGGGTAAGGCAGGGGGATCCTCTCTCCCCCTACCTCTTCACCATTGCCATGGAAGGGCTATCTTCTATTCTTAACAGAGCCGCTGAAAGAAAGCAACTGATTTACCACCCTCAGTGCAAACACATAGGTTTGACTCACCTATGTTTTGCAGATGACCTTCTGATCTTTACAGAAGGCTCTGCACAAGAAAAAAATGCAAAGTCCAGGAGCTTTTATCTGAATTCTATTCTCTTTCTGGGCTGAAATGTAACCCGAGCAAATGTGAAATTTACTTTGGGGGAATATCTGAGCTGTATAAGGGTAATGCTCTTCAGTTGTCTGGATTTCAAGAGGGAAAGCTCCCTGTCAGGTACTTGGGGCTCCCATTATTTTCAGGGAAGCTTTCCTCAGCTGATTGTGATAAATTGGTTGAGAAAATCACTCAGAAGATTGGGACTTGGCGTGCAAAGAAATTGAGTTATGCAGGTAGACTTGAGTTGATTAACTTTGTTTTCATGGGCATCCTGCAATATTGGATGCAGGTTTTCCTCCTTCCCAAAAAGGTTCTAAAGCAGGTGTATTCTGTATGTTCAAGGTTCCTTTGGCATGGGGGTAATGAGGGTAGAGCTAAAATTGGCCGGGAGAGATTGGCTCGACCAAAGGGTGAGGGGGGACTGGGCATAAAGGATCTCTTGGCTTGGAATAGAGCATGTACTATTCGAATGATTTGGCTTCTTATGATGAAAAGTGGTTCAATTTGGGTGGCTTGGATGTGGAAATACAGAGTCAAGCAGGGTAGTGTTTGCACCATGAATGTGAGTCCAAGTAGTTTTTGGGCATGGAGAAGGGTCCTTAAGATTCGACCTTTACTGCAGGCTCATCTAACAATGGCTGGTGACACTCCTAGTTGGGATGGTAAGCTGATGCCTGTTTATAAGGTATCTACTATATGGAATACTCTGCGTGTGGAACATCAACAAGTGGATTGGTCAAAGCTGGTCTGGGGTAAAAAGCATCTGCCTAACAACAGTTTGATCACTTGGCTGGTCTTGATGGATGGTACTACTACCAGGGACAAGCTAGTCAGGTGGGGTAAGATCGTGGATGGCTCATGCTTGCTTTGCAGGGGGGCCTTGGAGACTAGGGAGCACTTGTTTTTTCAGTGTCCTTATTCAATGCAGGTTATTTCTTGCTGGAGAGGAGGTCATCTGCTCTGTAGATCGAGTTGGCAAGAGAATGTGCAAGCTGCTGTGGCTTTGAGCATGAAGAGTTCCTCGATTGGGAGGGTAATTGGTGTCTTCTAGTGTGCCTGTATCGCATATCTGTGGCGTGAAAGATGTAATCGACAGCATCAAACTACTCCAAGGGATGCTGCAACTCTCAGTAGGCTAATTACTTCTGATCTATTGTATTTGGGGAGTGTTGACAGTGACTTACAGTCTGATCTGGTGGCTACTGGTTTCCTATAGTCTGGGTGGGAGAGTTTAGTGCAGTAAGGTGGGTTTGTGAGGGGAGTTTGTTCCCTTCTCTGCAGGGTTACTTGTCTTGAGTAATCCTTTCGTTGTATCAGGCACTATATGTTATTTGCATATAGTTTGGTAATACAATTGCTACTGATTCAACGAAAAAAAAAAACAAAAACAAAAAGCGATGCATTGTAAACAATACATGCATAATGACAATCCCAACAAAACAATCGCAACTTCCAACCGACCCCTTAGATATCATTTGAACCAACGAATCAATTCATAAATTCATTTGATTCAATCCCACATAAGATGAAAGAAAGAAGAAAGAAATAGTCTACCCATGTGTATGATATGATAAATTCACCAATCCAATCTACAAATTTATAAATTCAATCTATGAACTTATAGATTCAATCCATTTGTCCATAATAACGATTCATAATAACGAGATTATAAATCAAGAGTCCCTTATCCCACCTCTCCGAAGTGTGGAACAAAAGGTTACTGGACCAGTGGGCTCGGATGGACTTGACTTGACGACTCCCACAAACAAGATATCAGTTTATGCACGCTACATAAGCTCACGAAGCCTTACGCCCCAATATTCACTTGGCCCAACCTACAGTTCAAAGTTCTCCCTATAATTAGCGTAGATAGTAGATTTTACGTTTAATACACGTATATGTAGTCATGCGTATTTTATCCCTTTAAACATTTCGTATCTGTATTATTGTCAAACTGTTTCATTTATTTTCGTTCATTTGATGGCTTTCGTATTAAACATGTATAAAACCCATATAACCCGCTTAATATCCATATTTAATGAATTAAATTTTTAAATTTACTATTACTTATTTATTTTATTATCTTTAAAATAATTAATTTTATATATTTATGACTATTAACGTACTATTAAACGTAACATTAACTTAGAGATAAAGTAAAATAGCCCTACATATTTTATACGTAACTTTCCCGTACCATATTTTACTAACTATGATCATTAGGGCTGGAAGTTTGGTACCAGTATTTGAGATATACCGAATATAGTATCAAATTTATCACTATTTGGTATTGTCGAATATCGGCTTATTTTTTAAGAATTAAGATTCATTTTGGAGTGTTATTCGATATTCGGAATTACGAGATTATGATCGGTATATA